AAGGGAAAGGTGTTGGGGTGGGGGGCAGGACAAAAGTGTGGTTAGGGAAGGGCACTGGGTGGGAAGTATGGATGGAGCTCTTACAGAAGGGGCATAGAGGAAGTCCACGTGAGGAGGCTGCCACAGCAGAGACCTGCCCCAACAGTGCAGGCAGTACCCAGAAGGGGAGGGGATGGTTGGCCTTGTTGCCGAGATGACAGGGGCTCAGCACCCCCAGGTGTGGCACTTCTACTCGGTCACCTTTCCCTCACATCATCCCCTGGACAGCTTGTGCTTTGTGAGGGGCCAATGTGGGATGCTGCCAGATGGGGGAGGCTTCAATGAGCCTTCTTCCCTGGTATAGAGCGACTGGCCATGAGGCTGGTCCCCTCTTGTAGATGACTGGAGTGGGAGCTGATGACAAGGGGACCGGTACCAGTGGGCAGGCTGTTGGCCAGCCACATCCTCCAGAGCCACTGGGGTTGCTCCAGGACCATGGACAGAGCCGCCATGGGGGCTGGGTACTGACACTCACACTGGACAACACAGACTTTCCCTCACCACTGATGAGTACCAGCCAGGGCAGCGCCAGCACCTTCCCTGGAACTGGGCCAGTCCACTGACGGCAGACAGACGCCCCCTAGCTCCTGCACACAGACATGCAGACCACCGTGGAGATGAAGGAGCCGTGGTGCCACACAGTGGGTAAGTGTGCGCTGCTCACTGGAAGGTCCCTGTGCCTCCATCAAGGTGACAGCGGCCTTGAAAGCCCGACAGGGTCCCAGTGAGTCGGCCCTGACTCCACAACAGAGGAAGTGGGGAGTTGGAGTTTATGTTAATAGCATGAAATGCTCTAGAAAAGGATCGCAATCATGGTGTTCCTTACGTTACGAAGAATGTGACCCACGTCACTGACTCACACACACAATACAGAAACTTTGTTATATATATTTTCACCACAACAAAAAATTTTGAAGACAAGTTTGCCAACATATTAGATGTAAATGGAGAAACTGTGAATCAGATGACTATTTATTATTTAAATTTAAAACCCAGACTGCAGCCAAGTAAATACAAGATGGGAAATACAGAATGTGAAAGAGACTTAAATGTCAGATAGAAGAACACCTAACATATAAATCAGGGGCTAGAAAGAGAGAACGGAAAAAGTAGGAGAGGCAATATTTGAAAAGGCAATGGTGAGAAATTTCCAGAACTAATAAGACTCCATACACCCAATGATTCTCAAGAAGAGAAACGAATAGAAATCCACATCTGCTCACAGCAGCAAAACATTAGAGAACACATGAGACATTCAGTAGAGCAGGAAGGGCGATCTCCCCACAGGAGCAATGAGACCCATGAGCTTTCTCCCTGTAATACCAGAGCAAGAAGACAAGGGGAACAGCGCTACAAGTGGACCCCTACCAAGGGGTGCGTCTACTGCACTGTACACTGTAAGAAAGAAATCAATCCGAAAAAAAGGTCGGGGAAGAAGCACGTACCAACCTAGTTTCTACACCTAAGCAAACTGTATCTCCAGAATGAGAGTGAAATCAAAACATTTTTAGCTAACTGGAAAATAAAATTTACCAACAACCCCTTACTAAGGGAACCTTTCAAGGCCATACTTTAGGAAAGTCTGAGATGTAAGAGAGAATGATGAATAAGTAAAAGGGGTCAACTGGGTAAAAATGGACACACTCATACTGTAAAGCTAATCAAGCTGTAAGAGCTCTCACACAAGAGCGGGAGGAAGCTGGAGGAGGGATCATCACCAGAGTCACAGCTGTCTCCTTCTCAAGTCCCCGTGTTGTTCAGGGGAACACAACAGCTCTATGTATGTATAAATCTCAAGATGACTCAAAGTAGAGAGCTGTACTGAGAGACAGAGTGTGAACATACATAGGGAAGTATGTGTGTGTGTGTGTGTATGAGAGGGTGCCTGAGAGCACAGGTGTGTGTGAGTGCATGTGTGTTGTGTGTATGTATGTCTGTGTGCATATTTGAGTGGATGTGTGAGTGTGTGTACACAAGTGTGTACATGTGTAAATTTCAAGACTAAGACTAAAAGAAAAATGGACTGAGTGTGTGCATGAGAGGGTGTATGTAGTTTGAGTGTGTGTGTGTACATGTGTCTGTGTATAAGAGAGACAGAGAAGGGGGTTGGAGATAATGAAACTGGTAAAAGACAAGATCACCAAAAGATCTAGTTGCAGTTACTTTGAGGAGGTGATGATTGGCTGCTCTTGAAAAATACAAATGGTATCTGTGGGCTGTAGTCAGATTAGCACAGTGAAGGTGCAGTAAGACAGTGCAGCATTCTTCAGAGGTAGACTCTAACCACCTCTCAAAGAGTCTCTAACAGCCAGCTAAAGAAATGAGTATTTCCTTATAGAGGAGCTGACTTGGATTCCGGATGAGACCTTTACAATAAATGAAAAGAACAACTACCAAGGTTTTCTATGAATGTAGTCCTTTCCGTTCTAGCTCAGACTTCTGCATACCAGGAGAAAGTCGTCACCTTCAGACTACGGTGTCTAGCTTTTACCAGTCAGCCCTAAAACGGCACTTGTCATTGCTTTAACTACTGCAAAATGGAAATTACTGACAAAAATTCTGTAAAATATTAACCTGATATTAAAGGATAGACAGTGATTACTGAGAAACTTCTCCCAGTTATAAATTAATATTATAAATACTAAAAATTCATATGCCCATGAACATGCATTACCAGCTAGAGTCTACCTTACCCATTCTCCTTTATGTCCAAGTCATCGAACATCTGAATGAGGGAGACAGCCACTTGATACGCATCCTTTGTGATCGTGGGCTCCTCCAGGAGATGAGGGGAGAGCTACACATAGGAAGGAAATGCATTGGAGGCACAGGGACTGCAAGACCTGACTCCCTCCCAGAGCTTGTCTCAGTCACTACGATCAGGGCCCCAAACAGGAAGAGCATTTGCTCAGCCAGTATCTGAGCACTCACCACATGTCCTCGCAATCACAGAACTACAGTGTTTAATCCCTGGGTTAGGATGCAGCCACATCCCTCCTTATCAAGCACCCACCTTGAATCTCTAAGACTGAAACATGATAAAATTGGGGCTTCTACATTCTGACTCATATCGACCCTATGCACAACAGAACCAAACCACTGCCAAGGTCTACACCATCCTCACAAACGTTGTTATGTTTGAGCCCACGGATGCAACCTCTGTGTCAATCCATCACCTTGGGGATCTTCCTCTTCTTTGTCAATCCTCTACCAAACATGATGTCCTTCTCCAGGGACTGACCCCTTCTGACAACATGTTCAAAGTACCTGAGATGAAGCTGGGCCATCCTGGTTTCTAAGGAGCAGTCTGGCTGTACTTCCTCAAAGACAGATTTGTTTGTTCTTCTAACAGTCCAGGGTACCTTCAATATTCTCATCAAACACTATAATCCAAAACCATTGGCTCTTCTACAGTCTTCCTTATTCACATGCATATGAGAAGAATGAAAACACCATGGCTTGGGTCAGGAGTACCTGAGTCCTCCAAGTAACATCTTTTCTCTTTAACACTTTAAAGAGGACTTGTGCAACATATCTGCCGAATGCAATACATCATTTGGTTTCCTGACCTGCAGCTTCCATGTGTGCTAGTAGTAAATCCAAACAAAATGAAGTCTCTGACACTTCAGTTTTTTTCCCTGTTTATTATAAGGATTTTTGTCTTCCTTACACTGAGGTGCAATCCATACTGAAGGCTGTACATACTCTTTGGTCTTCATCAGTAAGCATTTTAAGTCTTCACTTTCAGCAAGCAAGGTATCCTCTGCATATTGACGGGTGTTAATGAATCCCCCTGCAATCCTGAGGTTACATTCTTCTTCATAGAATCCAGTTTCTTAGATAATTTTCTCAGCAGACTGAATAAATAAAGTGAAAGGATATGACCATGATGTACACCTTTTCTAATTTTAAACCACACAGTATTCCTTTGATCTGGTCTAATGATTGCTCCTTGGTCTATGTACAGGTTCCTCATGAGCGTAATTAAATGTTCTGGAATACCCATTCTTCAACAATGCTATCTATAGTTCATTGTAATCCACACAGCAGAGTACCTTTGCACAGTCAATAAATCACAAAGACATCTTTCTAGCATTCTCTGCTTTCCCTGGAGATCCATCTGGTGTCAGCAGTAATGTCCCTTATTCCAAGTGCCCTTCTGAATCCAGCTTCAATTTTGAGCAGCAACTTGCTGCAACTGTTTTGGAATTATCTTAAATATATGTGATATCAATGACACTGTTAAAAAATGTCCACCTTCTGTTGGTTGACCTTTCTTTGGAATGGGTAAAAATACGGATCTCTTCCAGTCGGTCTTTCAGATTTCTTGGCATAGACAAGTGAGTGCTTCAAGTTGCTGAAACATTTCAATTGGTATTCCGTCAATTTCTGGAACCTTATTTTATGCTTGGACTTTCTCCTTAGATACCATTGGTCCTTGATCATGCGCTACCTCCTGAAATGGCTAAACACTGAATCAATTCTCTTAGGTACGGTGACTGCATAGTCCTTCCATCTTCTTTCAGAGATTTTCACATGGCTCAGTATTCTACCCAGAGAGTCCGCTAACATTTCAAGTCAAGGCTTGACTTTTTTCTTCAGTTCTTCCAGCTTGAGAACTGCTGAGTGTTTGATTTTCTAATTCCAGGTCTTTGCACATGTCATATAATATTTGAAATTGTCTTCTTGAGCTGATCTTTGAAATGGTCTGTTCAGCTCTTTTACGCCCTCATTTCTTCCTTATGCTTTAGCTTCTCTACATTCAAAGGGCACATTTCAGAGTCTCTTCTGACATCTATCAGGATATTTTCCTTCTTTCTTGTCTTAATGATCTTCTTGATATCATCCTACAACTCCGTCAGTCATTAGCATTCAATGCATCAGATCTGTTCTTGAGATGGTTTCTAAATTCAGGTAGAATATACTCAAGGTCCTATTTTGGTTCTCGTGGACTTGTTTTCATTTTCTTCAAATTGCTTAACCTGAACTTACATATGAGCAATAGATGATCTATTCCACAGTCTGCCATGGCCTTATTCTAACTAAGGATACTCAGGTTCTTTATCTCTTCCCATAGATGTAGTTAATTTGGTTCCTGTGTATTCCATCTTGTGAGTTTCACATGTATATGTATTGCTGCTATTGTGAAGTGCCGTCAAGTCAATTCTGACTAATAGCAACCCTGTATAGGGTTTCTGAGGAGCAGCTGGTGAGCTTAAACAGCCAAACTTGTGGTTCAAACTAACCTTGCAGTCCAATGTATTACCCTGCACACCAGGACTCCTATGTATGTGTAGTTACTGTTTATGTTGTGCAAAAAAAAAAAAAAAATAGTTTCAATGAATAAGTTATTAGCCTTGCAAAATTCTATCATATGACCTCCAGCATAATTTCCAACACCAAGGCCATATTTTCCAATCATTGATCCTTCCTCATTTCCAACTTTTGCATTCCAATTACCAGTAATTATCACTACATCTTGATTACAAGTTTGATTCATCACTGGCTTTGGTGGTTGGTCTTTACATTTGAATAACAGTTGTATTAACGAGTCTTCCTTGCTGCTCATTGTTCTTAGGGACCATCAAGTCGGTACCAACTCACAGCAACCCTATATACAACAGAACAAAACACACTGCCCAGTCCTGCGCCAACCTCACAATCTTTAATACGTTTGAGCCCATTGCTGCTTCCACTGTGCCAATCCATCTCCTTGGGGGTCTTCCTCCTTTGCTCCAACCCTCCACCTTACCAAACACGATATCCTTCTCGAGGGACTGGTCCCTCCTGATAATAAGTCTGAAGTATGAGAGATGAAGTCTGGCCATCCTGGCTTCCAAGGAGCACTCTGGCTGTAATTCTTCCAACACAGATTGGTTTGTTCTTTTGGCAGTCCATGGTACTTTGAATAGTCTCTTCCAACTCCATAACTCAAAAGCATCAATTCTTTCACGGTCTTCCCAATTCACTCTCCAATTTTCACATGCATATCACAGCTTGTTAATGAGTGAGCCTTCTTCCAATTCTGATGCGATGTTTTTACCCATGTAACCCAGCTTCTCAGATTATTTGCTCAGTATATAGACTGAAAAAGTATGGTGAAAGAATACAACCCTGGCACACACCTTTCCTAACTTTAAACCATTCTGTGTTCCCTTGTTCTGTCTGAACAACTGCCCCTTGGTCTGTGTACAGGTTCCTTATGAGCACAATTAAGTGTTCTAGAATACTTATTCTCCACAATGTTGTCCATAGCTTGTCATGATCTACACAGGCAAAAGTCTTTGTATAGTCAATAAAGCACAGGTAAATAAACATCTCTCTGGTATTCTGTGCTTTCAGCCTAGAGCCATCTGATGTCAGCAGTGAGATCCCTTGTTTCACGTCCTTATCTGAATCCAGCTTGAACCTCAGGTTCTGTCAACATACTGCTGCAGCCATTTTATGAATTATCTTCAGCAAAATTTTACTTGCATGCAGTATGATACTGTCCAATGATTTCTGAATTCTAGTGAGTCAGCTCTCTTTGGAATGGACACAAATATGGATCCTTTTCAGTCAGCTGGCCAGGTAGCTATCTTCCAAATTTCTTAGCATAGATGAGTGTCTCCAGTGCTGCATCCGTTTGTTGAAAGGTTTCAATCTCTATTCCATCAATTCCCAGAGCCTTGAACTTTGCCAATGCCTTCAGAGTACCTTAAACTTCTCCCTTTAGTATCACTGGCTCTTGATTATATGCTACTACTTTAAATGGCTGAACGACGACCATTTCTTTTTGGTACAGTGATTCTGTGCATTCCTTCTGTTTTCTTTTGATGCTTTCTGCATCATTCAATATTTTGCCCAGAGAATCCTTCAATATTTCAAGTTGAGGCTTGAATTTTCTTCTCAGTTCCCTCAGTTTGAGAAATGCTGAGTGTGTTCTTCACTTTTGGTTTTCTAACTCCAGATCTTTGCACATTTTGCTATAATATTTGACCTAGTCTTCTCAAAGTGCCCTTTGAAATTTTCTGTTCAGTTCTTTTACCTCCTCCTGCCATTGGCTTTAGCATCTCTACACTGGAGAGCAAATTTCAGAGTCTCTTCTGACATCCATTTTGAGTTTTTCCTTCTATCTTGTCTTCTTAATTCCTTTTGCTTTCTTCCTATATGATGTTCTTGATGTCATCCCACAACTCTCCTGCCTCTTCGGTCATTAGTGTCTAATGCATCTGTTCTTCAGATGATCTCTAAATTCAGGTGGGGTATGTTCAAGGTCATATTTTGGCTTTTGTGGACTTGTTTTAATTTTATTCAGCTTTAGCTTGAACTTTCATATAAGCAATTGATTGTCTGTTCCAGTCTGCCAAACGGCCTTTTGAGCTGATAATATGGAGTTTTTCCACTATCTCTTTCCACAAATGTAGTCAATTTGATTTCTGTGTAGTTCATCTGGTGAAATCCATGTGTATTTTATGTTACTTTAAAAAAGTTATTTGCAATGAAGAAGTCATTGGTCTTGCAATCTATCATAACATCTCCAGCACAAGGCCCTATTTTCCTACTACTGATCCTTCCTGTTTGTTTCCAACTTATGTATTCCAATTTCCAATAATTATCACTACATCTTGATTACAAGTTTGATCAATTTCAGACTGAAGAAGTTGGTAGAGTTCTTCAGTTTCATCCTCACTGGCTTTTGTGGTTGGTGAGTACATTTGAATGATAGTGGTATTAACTGGACTTCCTTGTAGGCATATACGTACGTATTATCCGACCACAGACAGCGCTATATTCTTTTCAGACAATTAATGTAATCCTGATGAGGCTTTCTACTCCCGTAAGGATTTACACCCTCGGAAACCCTGTACAGGGTCGCTATGGGTCGGAACCGACTCGACGGCACTTAACAACAACAACAATTCTTCTTCAAAAGGAGCTCTGATAGCGTAGTGGGTACGACTGCTATCCTCAAGGTCAGCAGTTTAAAACTATCAGCTGTTCCGCGAGAGAAAGAGGAGGCTTTCTGCTCCCATAAAGATTGGCAGCCTCGGAGACCCTGTGCAGGGTCACTATTATTTGGAATCGACTCCATGGTACTTAACAACAACAACATTCCTCTTCAAATTTGTCATTCCTGGCTCAGTAAGCCATATGACTGTCCAAATCAAAATGGCCAACAGCTGTCCATTTCAGGTCACTAATGCCTAGGAGTCTTGGTATGGCACTGCCAGATAATACACTGGACCCTCAAGATTGGTTTGAACCATAAGGTCTCTAGTTCAAACTTACCAACAGCACCTCAGAAACCCTTTACAGGGTTGCTATGAGTCAGAACTGATTTGATGGCACTTAACAACAGCAATGCCTAGGATGGCGATCTTATGTATTCCATTTCATTTTTTATGACTTTCAATTTTCCTAAATTGATACTTCATACATTCCATGTTCCAATTATCAATGGATGTTTGCAGCCGTTTCTCACACTGAGTTGTGCCCCAACAGGAGATGACAGTTCCAAAAGCTTTGCTCCATCTACATCATTAAGGTCTACTCAACTTTGAAGAGGCAGATCTTCCCCAGTCTTGTTTAGAGGGCCTTCCAACCTGGGGGATTCATCTTCCGGCACTACATCAGACAATGTTTCATTGCTATTTATAAGGTTTCTAAGGGCTACTCCCTCAGAAGGACCACCTATTCCCTTGTCCTAGTCTGTCTTCGTCTGGAAGCTCCACTGAAACCTAGGCACCATGGGTGACCCTGCTGGTGTCTGAAACACCAGTAGCATAGCGTCAAGTATCACAGCAACACACGAGCCACCACAGGACAGCCAACTGGAAGATATGTGGAGGCAGAGCCCTAAAAACCAAAAGTCCCATCAAGAAATAAAACCGTAAAGCTCAATTCATCCATTTTCAGTAAAATGTATTGCTCCATTTACAGAAAAAGCAAGCACATTCGGCTTCTGTCTACCAATGTGCACCGGGATTTCCAGGCCACCTCTAGGAGTGGGGAAGCCTCGGACGCAGAGTCCAGGTGGTGCAGACCCTGAGGCACCAAGGACAGCAGCCATCCCCCGGGCAGCTCTGATTCCCTGGTCTGAGTTGACAACCTTCACACTGTGCAGAGGGCAGGGCCGTAACACCCACAAATCTACTCCACAGTCCCAATAGGTGTCTGCACCATGACTATAAGGGCTTTGCTGTTTAGTTAATATCTCACTTGTCAACACCTTGCATTTGATCTTGTGACAGACACAACAAAGCAAGTCCTCAGGAGACCAACAGCTATAAATGCCTTTTTTTCTCCAAAATTTTTACTTATGTGTAAATTAAGCCCGCTGAAAATAATCCATTTCTCACTATTACTAACAATTCTAGTGATATACGCATGACAAAATTACTTCTAAATAAGCAACTTTAAAAGAAAGTGGAAGGTCACCAAAGAGGAGGAAGGCCCCAGTCATGCAGTGACTTACTTCACATGGTTCTTCTACCCAAAGTCTTTGGAACTCCGACCAAACCACCTTTTGACCTCGCTAGTTCTGGGTACGAGGCCTGCTGTGGAGCTGCAGGTAAAGGTGCAAAACTGCAAAGTCTGTTTGAATCACAAGGTCGGCGGTTCAAGCTCACCAGCCACTCCTTGGAAACCGTATACAGGGTCAGAACTGACTCAACGGCACTTCACAGCAACAACAACCGTTCTGGGTGATAGAAGGTGGGGAGCTGCTGATATGCTATGATTCTGTTTTCAGTAGTTAGCTATTTACCATGATTGTAAAAACTTTGAACTCTAACTTGAGTATAAAACGAGCCATCTCAGAAGCAGGAGAGAGGATCTCACTACTATCTAAGATGAAGACCCAGGAGTAGAACATGTCCCTTGGACCCCAAGATTTCTGCACTGAACTTCCTCGACCCAGGAACAGAAATCTGACAGGGCAGCAGCAGCCAAGAACCCAGAGCCAGGGCACAAGCTAGAGTGACGGGCTTCCCAGCCCACGGAGCAAGTAAAGCCTAGCGCCTCTGGGCAGGAGACATGCTTGAAGAGTGGGGTGTGTGTCCTGCGGGCATCTATCAGCAGTCCTTAAAGGACTCTGTATCATTGCCCTAGCAGAAAGAGGCCTGCCTGTGGGACTGCTGAGTGGACACTCTCCTAACTGGAACAACTGTGCCCTGGCAATTTCTAATCCTACAATGTAACCAGTTCACTTCCCTAATAAGCTGCGTAACTGGGAGTACCGTCTCTGAGTTCTGTGTGGCCATTGCAGTGAATCATTGTGCCCAACTGAGGAGAGAGAGTTGTGGCAGGAATGTTGGCTGCCATTTTTGACAACCCTCAACGAGATGGACTGATACAATGGCAGTAACAATGGGCACAAACAGAAGGAGCTGGCATAGGCCCGGACGACGCTTTGTTCTGTTGTGCACAGGGTCACCATGAGTCCAAACTGACTGAACAGCACCTAACAACAACTCTGTAACACAACTGTACAGAAAAGAGGTCTCCACACTCACCTGAAATTGTTTTCCTATAAACAAATACACCATAGAAAAGGTGTACCATCATTCACAAATCGCTTCACCAATGTTGAGACTCCAAGCACAATGGATGCTTTTTAAACCTGATGGTAAGATACCACATCTGTACTACTTCACACCCATAAGGATGGCTATTATCAGAAAACAAAAACCAGTAAGTGTTGGCAAAGACGTGGAGAACAAGTCAGTGTTGGAACGTAGAACCTCCTTCCTTAGGACCCCGCAATTCCACTCCTAGATGTGTGCCCAAGAGGACTGAGAGCAGAAACTCAAAGGCTTACTTGCACACCAAAGCTCACTGCCGCTAGTCAGCCCAGGGATCCATAAGCAGATGAAGGATAAACACAATGTGGTCCGCTGAGTGTCATCGCTGGTTCCCCAGGAAGTCCTTGGATTTGACAAAGTGCCTTCTTACATTACACACAGCAGAGTTATCCCTCTCACAGTAGCAGCTACTACTGTTTACAAATGCTTTCCATCAGTCAAACTCCCATAAAGAGCAATCTGGCAGCGCCCATTTGAATTACAAATGCATGTGCCCTATGACCCAGAAATGGAGGTGGCGGGAGTACTACCCAGGGTTCTTGTGGAAATGTTTGGAGACATTCTTGGTTGTCACACAAGGCAAGGGGGTGCTACTGGCATCTAGTGGGTAGAAGCCAGGGATGCTGCTAAGCTTTCTAGAATGCATAGGGCAGCCCCTACCACAGTAAATTCTCTGGCCCAAAGTCAATAGTGCAAGGGCTGAGAAACCCTGGCCTACAAGATATACTTTCATATGTGCAAAATAAGAGGTGTGAAAGGTTATTCTCCACAGTACTATTGTTATGTTGTTGTTGTTGTTGTTAAATGCTATGGAGTCGGTTCTGACTCATAGCGACCCTGTATAGCGTTTCTGAAGAACAACTGGTGGGTTTAAACTACCAACCTTGTATTCAAACGGACCTTGCGATCCAGTGCTTATCCTAGAGCACTCTATTGGGACGCTGTTAAGCAGCCTAAAAAGAGAATACAGAAACTACAGACTGATATGGAACACTGTGGAAATGTAAGCAAAAGGGAGCCAGGAGTGCCTAGAACTGATGTAAACAGAATGCGTGCACATGTGCTCATCCAGGCAAAACAATCTTGGCAGGTGCTCACAAGCAATCTGCAGCTCTGGTTTTCTCTTGGTGAGGGGAGTCTGGGGGGTTAGACAGGGTACATGAGCATTACCTGCAAGCACTGACCAGAACACAATGTACCCCAACTGCTAAGGATGCAAGTGTCGTCCCCAAATCCTCCCCGCCTCTGGTTATCAGCCCCATTTGGGAATGCTCTGCCTCTGTTAGGTTAAAAAAGCAGGATTACTGTAGGGTGTCTCTTGAGTCAATCTCTTCTCAGATATAAAAGTGATTACACAAGCAGGCAGAGATGAAAATGATCAATGCCAAGCCATGTGGAGCTCTCCAAAGAATGGGGAAACAGGCCTTTAGGCCCCTCTCCTGTCTGTCTGTTGTTTCTGTCCCAGCATCCCTGACAATGGAAGCACCACATACCCTGCTGTGGTGGATGTGCTCCAGGTCATTGAGATAATATTCCTCAATCGAATAGGGCTTGCCTTCCACTTCAAAAATGTGCGCAGGTTTCATTTTGTTTTGAACAGGAACTGCAAAGTAATCTGCAAACTCTTTACAGTTGATGGTGGCCGACATGAGGATGACCTGTGAGACAGAGGGAGGAGAGCCAGCAAAGTCAGCAGGAACCACCGGCAGACTGTCTTTCCGAGAAGGGAATTCTCTTTAGATTTCAGGTTTATTGTCTGCTTCATCCCTGTACTTAATCACTTCCGAGAGTTTAACAGAATACCTTTATTTAATCTCTAGTCTGAAAACAAACTTGCAGTTCAAAGAATGCTTAGAGACCAACTGTTACTATTTCTCTTCAATGACCAGGGGACTTCAAACAGTTCATGGAAAAATGGAATTCAAAGAGAGTGGGATTTTCCCATGAACTTTTTGAAGACCCCTTTGTAGTTCCTCAATTGATTAAACTTACGTCTCTGATAAAGTTATACTATCACCATTATCTAAAAAGAAACAGCATCGGAAAACCATTTGTAAAACAAAACTAGAAAATATGTTCCAGAAAAATGAGGCCCTAAACCAGGCAATGGATCACTGTCCCGTATATAAAGTCGTTGTGAGTTGGAGCCAACTTGAGGGACAGTTACCACCACCACCACCCAGCAAAGAAGAAAATAAGGGGCCCAGAGTCTTGGCTCCACCCAAGGACCCAGGGAATTCTCAAACGACAGCTATGCAGTAGCCAAGAGAGGAGTCAGTCCAGATCGGTAGGAACCGCCTGCTCACGTGTGCCAAAAAGCAGTCAGCCAGCTACTGCGAGCTGTGCCTGGAGAAAGCAGCATGTCCAGGGCTCTGGGCCATTCACAGTGGCCAAATGCTAAGCAGGTGGTAGGCATGGCAACTTGGCTGGCTGCAACTACCCCCAGCATGCACAGGGAGGCAGTCCTGCTGTAGACATCTCAGCAGGACCGGTAAAAACTTTATGTATACATCATCAGTATACTTGCAAGGCAAACAAGACTCCACAGTATCGCCCTTTGACATCCACTGTGAACAGGAACATCTAAATGGACCAAGACTCATTCTGTCATGTCTGATGTTGGAAGGATCCTGTGATAAGCCACTTGGGGGAAGGAGTGGTCCCCAAAGGGATATTCCAGTGGCCGCACACGACCAGTCAACTGCCTTCTAAGAAAAGGCCAGCTGAGTAGGGGCCTCCTGCCAGCCGAGTATGGGCTCTGAACTGCTGAGAGATGGGCACTTGAGCCTCTAACAAACCAACTGCAACCTGTTGTCAAGTGTGGCCTGCTGACTGAAGAGTCTGGACTAGTAGGGAGCTGGGCCCATGAATTTCCAACAAGGGTAGGCCCAGTGTCGGGTCTAGAGGGCCACGGGTACCAACAAGGCCAATGGAATAGAAAGGAGCCCATGGACCCTCTGTCTGTGCTCCCACACTGAGCCTGCTGACAGTTCTCTTTACAACAGTAATGAGAATCTTTGGAGAGAATCAGGGACTAAATCATGTTCCCCTAAGGAGCTCTGGTAGTGTAGTGGTTACGAGTCGAGTTATTAACTTCAAGGTCAACAGTTCAAAACTACCAACGGTTTCGCAGAAGAAAGATGAGGCTTTCTGCTCCTGTAAAGATTTCCAGCCTCGAAAACTCTATACATAGAACAGAGTCACTATGAGTCGGAATCGACTCCACGGCACACCACCACCACCACCAAAATATGTGGCCACTTGGCTGGCCCTGACTCTGTGTGGTTTTGCAGTGTGTCATGATGGGAGGTAGGAGCTATGTAATGATGTCATCACCCACACACACACCATGATGTGATCTGACGTGATCAGCACCGATCTAATGTCACTACACTGCGTGCTGGAAAGCCTCACTTCTGTCAATGGGGCTGGATGCCATCTGCAGGATGCCATCTGCAGGATTAGGTTGCATCTGGAGTCAATCTCCTCTGAGCTATAAACAATTAAACGAGCAAGCATTGCTCAGAGGGACCTCCCACCAAAACCGACAAGCCGGAAGTGGTGGAGTGTGTCCTTTGGACCTGGAATCCCTGCACTGTGCCCTGTGAAGGTCCTGGATCTAGGGGAAGCTGGATGCCAAGATCAGGAGCTCTTCAAGGCCTCCTGGACCTCCAGGTGCTGAAAGGAGCCAGGATTCGGACGCCAGCCTCCTGAACAGTGAGAGAATGCACCTCTGTCTCTGTTAAAGCCCCCTCCCCCACACCCCTACCCCAACTGGTGGGACTTCGGTTAGGGCAGCACCAGAGAACGAAAATAAAGAGCTTAAACAAGTTTTTCTTTTTCTGTTTTTTTTTTTTAACGAAACCATCTAGAACTTGACTTCAATTGCTTGGTCCAACTACAGGTACCAGGAAGGATTCCATATTTGAATAATCCGCTAACACTGAAATTGACAGACACACCATTTCTTACTACTTACACACCAGGTCCCTGACCCTGCCCCATCTCCAGCAGCAGGGGAGATGATGGTTTTTAACTACAAAAAACTTCTGCATGTACTCTAGTCATCACTTCAGAGGAAAACTAAAACTCTTAAAATAACAAGAAAGGGCCCAATCTGCTGAGCAATCTTCAATGAGTCCAGAAAAAGGACTGATAGCTAACAGGCCATTTCTCTCCTTGGTTTCTGGTCCCCTGGAGCAATGAGAGCATCTACTACAGACATGCAAGTCACCAGGTGAGAGTGTGGCCATGCTGAGACCAAAGTGTCCCACCCTGGGGGAAGGGGTGAGAAGAAATGTCCCCCTAAGCAAATAAGTGGATTACACACTTGAAGGCAAACGCCATCATAATTCAGAAAGCAACTGTTTCCCAGTAAAATCAAAGCCGTTAGCAGTCCTGTTACATACGGTATGCACACCCCGACCTGAAACCCAGCAGGCACTGTGTTCTGTTGTGCATCGGGTCACTAGGAGTCAGAGCCAACCTGACGGCACCTAACAACAAAAGTGGCCTAACTGAGCAGCCTGACACTTAGACTCATTTCGCATCATTATCACCAACCCTTGGCTATTTTGGTCTAATTCTCACCTTCCTCCTTTGTGTTCGAATAAGATGTAATTAACATTTGCCATTCCCACTGATTCTAAGCTAATTTATAATTTAGGTCTCTAAAACAGCAGTTCACAGACTGTCCTCAGCATTCAGTGTGCTTTATCTAGTGCTGTTTTTAAAGCAGGGATTGCAAATTCATCCACGTCTGTGATAGTGAAGGCTGTGTATTGCTACTCTGGTTTCCAGGTATGATGTCGCCATCCTCCATGATGAGACCCCATCTAATGCAATCAGCTCAAAGAGATTTTCCTCAGGGGTGTCTAGTAGGAGGGAGCTTCAAAACGTCCATGGATAAAACCCATGAGCTTTTCATTCACTAGAAACACGAATGTTCTGAAGCTCCCCAGGATCCTACTCGGGATCCTACTTCATCTGGCTCTCATCATCTGTGAGGCAGCGGTCCACGGTGCTGCCTGCATTCTTGGGATTTTATCGACCACTGCCACCACATGAGTCAGAAGCCTCCAATCTGGCATCTGACCCAGAGACTTGGATGTGCCGGTGTCTATGACTATGAGCCACTTGCTGGAGCTAAGTTTCTCTGACTGTATGCATAAGCTTCTCAGGGTTTGCGTTTCTACAGAAAGCAGACGAAGACAACGACCCTTCACACTGTGGTATTCAATCAAAATCAATGCTCCAGTCCCCGCGTCTGATTGTAGCCCACCATTATTAAATCCTTTTCTGTAGCCTGGAGAAAATTTTAGAACTGAATGTAACATTATAACTGAAAAAGCACTCCACTGCACGCTGGGAGAGAAGACAGGGCTGTCCGCCCTAAATATTTCTGTTACTCATAAAATGAAAATTACCTTCACAAAACGTGAATTTGTTCTTAAAAGTTTGCGGACCACCAACAGCAAGAAATCCATTTCTTCAGTTCTCTCGTGCACCTAAAGGATAAGAAGGGGGCATCAGAGGGCAGGCAGTCCCTGGTGAGGGGAGAGATCAGGCCCGTCCTTTGCTACATGGAGTTGGCACACCAGACCAGAACCTCAGGCCTCGCAGGCCCTGCCCCACTCAGCGTTTCTCTTTGGGGTCCGGCAGCATGTGGGGCAGAGTAATGTTTGGCATCATTGGCCCTTCCCACTAATGCCACCAGTTCCACAGGTGACTGTGACAAGCCGAAAGCCCTCCATCCATGCCTACGCAGAATCACTGGAGCAGTCCTTGTAGGAGCGCAAGTTACCACACACTGCCACTCCCATGGCCTGAAGTTGGGCTGCTGCCTCATGAGGAAGCCAAGGGGGCCGAGGCACTCCACAATGTGCCACCTGACAGCACTCGGCCACAGGTCAGCCCACAACACGTACACTAGCACTGAGTTAGGCTGCAAGGTCAGTGCCAGGCCATGAGCAGCAATAACACCCATGAGCACTCGGGAGAGCAGTGGCTTCATGCCCCTTCGCAGATAGAATCCTTAGACTGAGCCAGCCTGGGACCTACAGCCAGCCCGTCCCCACTTTGCCCAGAACCTGCTCACACAGCAAAGAACAAAGGCACACAAGGTAACTCTCCCCCAGAGTCAAGAGATCTCAACGCCAAAAACCCCAAATCAACCGCCATCAACCCGACTCTACCTGATGGCAACCCCATGTATATAAGGAGCAGTGACTCCACCTGGAACATCTCTCTCCCTAAGGTGAACTGTCACATGCAGGCCCACATCCACGTAGCTTCCTCACTTCCCACAGAAGCAGGTATGCAGAGGCAAGAGGGAAAACTCAGTACCTGGAGTGGGTACCGTTCACATAACTAGGACTGGCAACCCTGACAAAACCCCACCCAACCCAATTCTTACCCTGTCACCAGACTCCAGAACACTTCCCCAACTCCAACATCCAGCTCCGACGTGAGACAGAAAATAAAGGCTATCACCAGTGCTGTGCCCCTAAAATGAGGGCTTCTCCCTGACTCTGGGGGCATCCTTACTCCTCCTCAGCCTTCAATGACCTCTTCAGTGGTCCCTGCTCTGACCTCCCTCCACAGCACAGACACACACAAATGGGCAAACATCTGCCTCCCTCAAATGCCTGTGAGCAGAAACCACGACTCGTTCATCTTTTATAATCTCAGAAGCAAACGAGCTACCTTTTCACAGCCGGTACTTCTCAAGCACTGAGAAATTAAATACACTGTCAGCAGCCCACTTTGAACTGAATGTCATTCCTCAACTTGTGCTCTTATATTTCCTTTTAAAGTCAAATCATCCCAAAGAACATGAAACATACTGTTTGTAACCCAAAACTCCAAATATTTCCAGTCTGTTCATTCATTAAGCAAGTCCCTGCCAGAATGCCTACTTGGTGCTGGGAAGTGTGACTGGTGTGGGGCTACTGGGACAGACAAACAATCTTCTGTCAGTCACTGCTGACCCTGAAGAGACACCTTTTATCAAATGCCTGTGAGGCTAGGATGGGTGTGCCTGCATCACCAAGTCTGTGTGGGCAAACACGGTCACCACCAGACAGAACTCGTCAGCACCATTCACTATGTGGAACCTAAGAAGGGGCTCTGGGTATGAACTTGTTCAAGCTCAAGTCTCCTCAGGTAAAATAGGCCCAAGGGGCAGCAAAGAGTGTCCATAATGAAGACTGTCTTGAGCTTCAGACCACCTTTAACTTAACCACTTTCTACATTCTACTTTCATCTCTATCTCATACAAACACAAATTGTCCTATGTCACAAAGAAAAATTCTGAACCATATAAAACCTTACACATCATTGCAAATGATACTAACAGGTCATTTTCCCTCTTCAAGCCTCCTCTCCCAAACCCCCACAGCAATTTAAAACCAGAAAAGAAATGTAAGATTATAAATTCACAAGCTCAGGATTACCTAGCGTCATGGATCGTACTATGCACCCCCAAAATGTACATCAACTTGCTGGGCCGTGATTCTCAGTGGGCTAGCAGTTATGCAGTGATTACCCCATGACAGAATCTGATGTGACTGGATTAAGGGTGGGATGCCAACAACTGTAGTCAAATGTAAAAGAGAGAGAGACACAAAGAGACCTACCACCACCAGGAAAGAAGCCAGGAATGGAGTATGCCCTTGGGACTCAGGTCCCTGAACTGAGAACCTTCTAGATCCAGGGCAAGACTGATGCCAAGACACACGAAGATCTCCAGAGAGTGCTAGGTCTATAGATGCTAAAAAGGGACAGGGACCCTCCCCCTAAACTATGAGGCAACACAGAGAGCGCCTTCTCCTGTAACTATGGCCTGAAGTTGGCCTTAGAGCCTCCAAAACTATGAGTGACCACATTTCTGTGTGACCAGAGCACTGAGACCCCAGGAATGCACCAGTGCTATTCATGAGCACACACCAACGGACAGTGGCAAGGCCTTAGCCTAGACAGGTGCCCAAATGGCTTGACTGTAGGCTTTATAAGCACCCAGCCCCATCTCACAGTCCCTACAAACTCTGTGATTATTACAATCCCTCTAGAAAGAAGTAAGTCACCTCGAGACATAATTACTAAAGAAGTTTAAAACTCAACACTTGAGGTGGAGGCATATTCAAAGCTTCTAGGAACATTTTTTAAAACACAAATCTACCCCCATCTCCCACCCTGAAGAACACTTGTCTAAAATATCAACAAAATCAATTCAGTGTTCCATCTTTACAAAGTCCAGAAATAATGAGGGAAGAGGAAAATCAAGAAAGCAAGCTAAGGGAGGCAGAAACAGGGCCCACAGGAACATCAGAGCTTTTTAAAGAAAACGTACACAGATCAGCGTCGGCCTTGTCACTGCTATCTTTAGCTACTGCTGGCCCTGATCTGCACTAGCTGGAACTACCTCTCTGTTCTCTTCATCTGATTGTGGCTAACACTCGGAACCAGGGATCAGCAGGCTTTCTCTGCAAAAGTCCATCACACTGCTCAAGTCTGCCATTGCAGCACAGAAGCAATCATCAGTAATATGTAAATGAGTGGGTGAAGCTATGTTCCAATAAAACTTTATTCACAGAAATAGGTGCCAGATTTGTGCCATGGGCCACCGTCTGCCAACTATGTGCTAAACCTCGGCTCTTTCAAAGTCTTCAGCACTCCATCAGTGTCTCCGAAGTAAGAGCAGAGGCTTAGAAAGGAAGACGGCCTTCTCCAGTGGAACAGACGGGTCCTTTGTGGCAGGGCCCCTCACACTCCCCTGTACTGTGCCCTGTCAAGGAGGCTGTCAACACAAAAGCACTCACTTCATCAATGAACACATGTGTGAACTCCATCAAACTCTTGGCACTAACGATTTTCTGAAGCAGGACTCCGGTTGTCATATAAATTAACCTGGTGTCTTCCGTTGCTATCTTCTCTAAGCCTACCTAAAATTGAGCAAGGAAAAAGAGAAAGAGGACGTTTCCAGGTTTAAATGGCTCCCATTTAACTACCAAATAAATTTATGTCCATTTATAATGGGGGTAAAAAAAGGGGGATAAAAAAACGATTACATATCACAAAAAACACAGGGTCCAAACGAAAGCTGAAGTTCTCAAGTTGGTGTGTCACCCATGGCTGGACCAAGAGGACTTGGCCTATCGAGCCATACTGCCGATGTCACTTCTATATTACAACAACCTTATCTGCAGACATCTTCTAGATGCACAGGCATCACGGAAAGAGAAATGCCACGAGCCTAAGAGCTCTCTCCTTTCCCCTCGACTCAGAAAGAAAAGGTGGTTTTCAGAGCATGGCGCTCCCTCCACCATTGTTCAGCCATGCCCCAGTTCTGCTCTACAAACAGTGGGTTCCATTTACTTTCTGGCAGGCACGAACATTACTATCAACACCTTCCATCACGCAGACCCAGCCAACAAGAGGGAGGAGCCAGGGCTGGGGCTCGCTCCTCCCACCTCACCTGATAGCCCACCAGGCCCCCCAGAGTCCAGGCTCTCTCTTTACTGATCCATCTGGCAATGCTGCTGGCCCCGATTTTCCGGGGCTGCGTCACCACAATGTTGCAGTAGGTGGAGCACTGGATGCAGTGATCCAGGACGTACTGCGGGAGTTGAGTGCTCTTACCGCTCCCTGTGGCTCCGTGGATGATCACCACAGAATTGCTTTCTATCAGAGAAATAACCTAGAAAGTTAAAAAAAAAAAAAAAAAATCTCTTTCAAAATTGCCAGAAAACAAACAACAGTGGAAAGTATTATCTATGCACCAAAACCCTTATTTCGGGAGGCACTCAAAATTTATTTCCCTTTCTGCTTTAAATGTTAGATGATTACTTCATCATCTGAACGTTACAAAGGAAAGCAAAATGGCCAAAGGTGGTTATTACAGGGAGAACCCACTCCCTAAACTGTGCAGCCAACTAGCGTAGCCACAGGAGACCAGGCCACGGGAGCTCAAGCCACGGAAGTGGTGTCATGGGAGACAAGACCACTGGAGAAGCAGCCAGGGAAGCTTCAGCACTTTAGGTCTCAATTTCTTCATCTGTAAAAATGAAAACACCAAATTGGATTTCCATGACTCTGAGTCTAAATTTGTTTTTTTTAAAAATTTTGTCAGGAAACTAGAGACAATCCTATTAAGAAACAGGGAAATGCAGCTGTTAATGCACTTGCATGGCCTTAGAATTCCATTACCATGCTTCTAACACCTTTTCAGCATTAACTTCCACTTTTCCAAGTATGATTACATTTTAAACTTCTCACCTGACTCCCACACCTAAATTTACTTAAGCTCTCTTATCCTCTAGCAAGTGGTATGTTCAGCAGATTCAAATTAATGTTAATACTGACCTCAAAAGATTAATATAGTACATCTACTCTACACAAGCTGTACTAAAGCAAAACAAAAATTAAATTTGGGATCATTTACACTTTTATCTTTAACTGGGAACACTGGTAGAGTACACACAAGCTTCAATATACTTACTTTTAAACACATCTGACCACATATAGTTATTAGAGATGTAACTATCCTAGTGATAAATCTGGCTGCTCATAAAACACTATCAAACTGCTTAATCACAGACCAAAAAAAAAAAAAAACCCAGCCCAAGAGGGAAAGAAGCCCCGTGGTGCTGTGGGCTGCCGGCCAGCCAGGGGGCTCTGTTTGCTGCAGAACCCACGCTGGCAGTGAGTCTTAAACAGGAAGTGCTCCTGGGAAAGGAAAGGGTTGACTTACAACCACTGCAGGGGCCAGAGGAGAGGGGCATGCTGACAGACTCCGCCCAGGTCAGGAGACACACTCCGGTAGATGCTTACTCTTAACTGACAAATAGAGGTGTGGCTTCTACCCAGATACCCCAGTCCTGACCTGAGCAGACCCCCTGCAGTGGCCTGAGAAGCTCACAGACCATAAACTCAAAGGAGGCATTTATTCAAATGGCAAGGTTACACTGTGACAAAAATATATTTACCTCTTCCTTACACCGGGTTATGGGCAAATCAGGATATTTATAGGTTGTCTCTGGTATGCAGGTCACATTGCTTAATTTAGCCAACGGAGGCCTAGGACCTAGATTCCGACAAAACAAACAAATACAATGTGATTCCTCTTCTGGAAAAAGACACGGTAAAAACCTTGACTTCAGAGCTCATCTCTCAGCACACGCTCCCACGCCCCACAGCTGACATGGATGCAGCGTCAGCAGATGTCCCCTGGCAGCCCCGTGGCAGTAACATACTGGACACCTCAGTGCATCCCTCCTGCCCCTCTCAGCCATCCACACTGCAGCCTTCCAGGTCAGAGCCTTTGAAACACCCGGCACTTCATTAGGAGTTGTTGTCAAGTGCCGTCAAGTCAGTTCCGACCCAAAGGGACCTTGTATAGGGTTACTTAGGAGCGGCTGGTGAGCTTGAACCTCTGTCCTTGCAGTTCAAAGGACTCTGAAGTCCAGCGCATTAACCCACAGTGCCTTATTAGAGGTTACTAAAATGATTATCTGACAGGAAAAATAAACAAAATCTTTTCTTTAAACTTCTGCTGGAATGTACCAGCTCGTTCTGTGTTCATGCCTTGCCACTGAATTGAATGTGTGCTGGACAGGCAGGCCAGGCACCATGGTACCATGAGGGGTAGCCATGCTTACATGGGTGGGAGTTCAGGTGTGGCACACACACACAGGATACAAACTTCTACTGGGAAGTACATTTTACTTTCAAAATAAACTTTCAAGGCTGCCTATGTCTTGATGTGGCCCTGTAGGATAAGAACTTGACCACAAGGTCGGTCTGAACTGTAAGGTTGGCAACTCAAACCCACCAATCACGCCTTGGAAACCCTATACGGAGTCGCTATGAGTCAGAACCAACTTGATGGCACTTAACAACAACAGTCTCTCCCAAGGAGCCCTGGTGGTGCAGTGGGTTAAGTGTTGGGCTGCTAACTGCACAAGGACAGTGGTTCAAACTCATGTGCTACTCCTTGGGGGAAAAGATGAGGTTGTCTGCTCCCATAAAGAGTTATAGTCTCGGAAACTGTAGATCATTTCTACTATGTCCTATAGGGTCACTAAGAACTGGCCTTGATTCACTGGCAATGGATGGGGATAGGGTTGGTGATTTTCCAGCCTCCTCTCTCTTCAGGGCTCTGCCCACACACACAACCCACCTGCCTGCCTGCCCCTCTCTGTCCTGCGTCTCCTCCTCTATGTTTAGCCACCTTCCCTTCTGCCTAAAAGCTTCTTTTTTGCTCACCTGCATCTTGTCCTCTGCATAGGGCCTCACTTTCATAGTTGGTCTATAATACAGAATTAAAACATTGCTATCTTCCTGTCACTGACCCACACAATGCATGGTACCAGTCAGATCAGGGATAATCTCTCAAAGCAACAATGTGCTCTCTGTGGACGAGGGTCCTTCCTGAGCACTAGTGGCCACTGACTCGAAGAAGGTCTAAGGTGCAGTGCTTTTTCGGCTCTCACCGCTTCCTGTCCCCTCCGTTTTAAAAGGGTGGCAGAAGCCTCCTGCTTTCCCATCTTGTATACCTGTTCCTGGGGACCCTGAGGTACAGTGGGGGAAGGGCTTAGCTGCTAACTCAGAAACCCCACGGGGCAGCTCTACCCGGTCCTATAGAGTCATCATGGTGATGGGCTGGACTTTGCACGTTTCCTATCTGCTCCCAGTCTCCCCCCTTCCGGAAGTACTCTCACCTAAAGAGACCTCAACCCTAATGCACTACTCCTGACAGCTCCCATTTTACCAAGGGTGCGAACAGTTCGTTTTAATGTCACCAAAACAGCACACACAGAAGTGAATAAGGAAAAGTGCATACACCTTCCCATCCTTGATGCTAGAGGGCTCACAATCCATAACGAGACCCCACCTCACTGCTACCCCCCCGCGAAAAAGAGCATGAGAGTCCACAGTCACTTTGTGTAAGAGCTGAGGCTTTGGGCCCCAACACAGCAAGGAGGTGGTCATAGAGGAGGGACAGATAGAGATAAAGAGAAGTCTGGCCAGTACTGACGAGGCTGACCTCACTGACCATCCACAGTATGAAGGCGGCTACTTCACCCTAGACATGCTTCAAGAAAAACTCCCCTAAATTCTAACTGCGCTGTGAGATGACGCACAAATCACGCTCTGCCCTTTTCCGGTCACTGGCTGCAGCCAGCCCCACACACGCTGCTCACTGACACCCAGAGCACCATAAGGAGGGTGGGAGTCGAGCAGCAGGGAGCTCACACTCCACAGGCCTTTCATCGGCAATTCAGTGACAAAGTCACGGATGCCACCAGGAGCAGCGGTATGGCACACCGAATTCCAGCCAATCAGCCCACACATGGCAAGTGAGGTCCAAAGTGACACGAGTCCTTTTCAGCTCAATTAGGACGCTTTTATGCCCATTAGCTCTTTATCCTAGGCCATGAGCAGGCACATACACACACGAGTTGGAAAAAACTAGGAGCCATAAACACTGCTGCCGATTTCACTAAGGCACCCCACTATGACAGCAGCAACTAGTTCATCAGTCAAGGGTTCCAGACGACACAAGCGATATGACACATGAAGAGTCAATTCCAACTCACAGAGACCCTATGTAGGAAAGAGAACAGTGCTGTTGACCTTTATGGGAGCAGACAACAGCCTTTTTCTTTCTCCTGGAAAAAGGCTGGTAGGTTTGAACAACCAGCCTTTCAGTCAGCAGCCCAACACTTAACCCACCATGCCACCAGTGTTCCTTTCATTCGTCTCTGTAGTTGCTGTAAAGTGCCATCGAGTCAGCTCCGACTCCTAACGACACTATTAGTTTTTCTGAGGAGTAGCTGGTAGGTTAGAACCTCTGATTTTGAGGTTAGCAGTCCAGTGCTTATCCCACAGCACCACACTAGGATTCCCATTCATCACTGTTATTGTTTGTTGATATGTGCCATGGAGTCAGTTCCGACTCACTGCGACCCCCACACACAACAGAACAAAACACTGCGCGGTCCTGTGCCAGCCTCACACTTGTTACGTTTGAGCCCACGGCTGCTGCCACTGTGTCCATCCATCTCACTGGGGTCTTCCTCTTTTTTGCTGACCCTCCACTTGACCAAACATAACGTCCATCCTTTTCCAGGGACTGGTCCTTCCTGATAATATGTCCAAAGTCTGAGAAACAAAGTCTGGTCATCCTGGCATCTAAGGAACATTCTGGCTGCACTTCTTCCAACACAGATCTGTTTGTTCTTCTGGCAGTCTGTGGTATTTTCAATATTCTCCTCCAACACCATAACTCAACTGCATCAATGATTCCACAGTCTTCCTTATTCATTATCCAACTTTCACATGAATATGAGGCAACTGAAAAATACCATGGCTTGGATCAGGCACACCGTAGTCCTCAAACTGATAACTTTTCTCTTGAACACTTTAAAAGAGGTCACTGTTGAGTCCGTTCCAACTTACAGCAATCCTGTATAGGGTGTTTCTGAGAGGCAGCTGGCGAGTTTGAACTGCCAACCTTATGGTTTGAACAGACCTTGCAGTCCAGTGCCTTATCCTACACTGCCACACAAGGAGATGCCAATCAAAACGTCAGTGAGCTACCATAAGGATAGCTACTATAAGAAACACGGAAAATAGCAAGCCTGTGTAGAGACTGAAACAAACCCTCGCCCTGGCATTGGTGGTGCAGTGACTGTGGCAAACAGTTTGACAGTTCCCAAAAATGTTAACCTCTCAATGATCATCTGCCCCAGCATTCCCACTCCTAGGTTACACCACAAGCACCGAACCAGTCATGCAGAAAGAAACATGTGCCTCAGTGTTCCTTGTAGCACTACTCCCAACAGCAAAAAGGGTGGAGACCACCCAGGTGTCCATCAACAAAATATGGTACAAACATACACTGCTACCTTAACCCGAATTCCACATTGTTGTTGTTGTTGTTGTATGCCACTGAGTCAATCTCAGCTCACAGTGAGCCTTTCAGACAGTGGAGTACCGCCCCACAGGGCTTCCAAGGTTGTACATTTTTACAGAAGCAGATGGCCACATTTTCTTCCACAGAGCAGCTGGTGGATGTGAACCACTGACCAAGTACACAACCACTGTACCACTGGTTTCCATAATGGACACTGACTCAGCCATCAAGAGAAACGGAGCTCCAGTACCTGCCACAACATGGTGCATCTGGATGGCACTGTCTTGAGTGACAGAGGTCAGACACAGAAGAGCAGCGTCTGACCTCACGTCCATAAAATACCCACAACAGGCCAATGTGCAGAGACCACATTGTGGACAGGGCAGGGGGATATGAAGGAACAGGGTCACTGCTGAAGGGATGGATGCCTACTTGCTATTAAAGGTGATTTAAACATTTGGAAATGGATAATTGGTGATGATTGTGTAATTAACATCACTGAACTGTACAAATGAAAACAGCTGAACTGGCAAATGTTTTGTTCTATATATTTGACCACAGTAAGAAAACCACATTTATCTGTGCACATGTAGAATGGATTTTACATCAAATCATAGGAAAAAGAATATGCAAACATTTATTTTAAAAGCAAGACAATGTACACTACAAAAAAATAAGTTTAATTACTGCATTACTGACTTAGCCATAAAATTATATATTCAAAATGGCTAATTATATATCACTTTTTCTCCAAGTATGGGTGGTATTTTGAATACAGACTTAGCTTGGAGGGCGATTAGTGTTCTGTTTTCAGTGATTATCCATTCTACATGGGCCATTCTCTCAACCCCAGAAAAAAAGGCTCCAGGGGCAGGAGAAGCGCCACTAAAAATACCTCCATACCAGAAAAGCCACAGTGCTGGGGAGCTGAATCACAACCTAAAGATCCTGGGCTGGACTGCCTCAGAGCCATGCTGTGAAGCAGGAGGAAGCCATAGTCTCCCCCGAAAATCCGGAACTAACAGGCAGTCTGCATTCCTGATGGGACCCAATTCCCAAGATTTCACACATGCCGTTCTACGTTGATACGGATGCCTTCTCACCTGGCCCACTGTTCGGATGAGCACTGCCGTACATGTCAAATTCTTGTGCTTCCAGCTGTCGGTATTTGTTAATGTACTCCATTTCTGAGCTCTTTTGACTGGGTGGCCTGTAAAGAATATTAAAAGTTAGATCCTACTTCCAAAAAGCCAAGAAACCCACTAACACCTGAGGAATTCTAGACTAGTTACTTTTACATTACGTCATGGAAGAAAATGCAAATTGGTCAATAAACAAATGAAAAAATGTGCCAGCAGAGTATCCAGGTAAATGGCAAAACCAAAAAGGTCTGGGAAGCACTAGTGTGACTATAGAGAAGCAAACTGCCTGAGTTGACTGGGGGCCTGGGTGGGCATGTGGACATGAAGACTGCTCTGAAGGGCTATCTGCCAGGACCCAGCAAAACACACACACACACATCTCCCACACATTTGTCTCCATATCCTCCTTTGAAGAACATCTGCACACACAAGGGTTTTGTTCACTCGACATACTGTCCTGACAGCTATGGACACTGGAGTCCAGGCAACCCCCTCATGAGGCATCCACTCCTCTAAAGGAGACACAGCACACACGTGTATAAGGTGCCTAGCAGGGACAGGGAGAAAGCTAAGATGGGAGACTTGTTTACAGTGTTTATAACTGTGGACAGACACGTGACAGTCTACTTGTCCATCACAGGCCTGGACACCCTCAGGGCCAGTTCTACTCTGTCACATGGGGTCGCTATGGGTTGGAATCAGTTTGACAGAGAAAACCTGGGGGGGGGGGGGGGGAAGGGAGCATGTCCAAGCTACACTGTGCCAGACTGGACTATGGTCAGCCACGCAGCATCTGTGTGCTGGCTCCAGGCCTTACTCATGACCAAGAGAGGACCCAAACATTGAATGATACAAAGCAACCCACAGATCAACGCTATCAATTACAATTAACTGCTATGCTACCTTTCATCATTAAGAACTTAAAAGCATTGAAAAACAAAAGGCTGTAGGAGACTGATACTTTTCATAAGACCCTTTTTAAAGAGTTTATTGCAGTGAAATAGTCTAACATTTGCCATTTCCAGCACTTTTCCATGTATAACCCAAAGATCTTAATTACATTTAGGATACTGTGCAACCATCACCACCAGCTAGTTCCAATTTTGTTTTTCATCACCCCTAACAGAAGACCAGAAGAGATGTGGGATGACATCAAGAACATCATACATGAAGAAAGCAAAAA